CCCCGATAATTCAATTTAACGTACGTGCTAAAGGGTATACTTTGTTGGCTTAACATTATAAACACTTTTCTGTTTCTGCCTAATTTTTATAATTATGATTTTTAATGGCTGCATAAAAGCCCGGCATGCAGCGTATTATAATTTACTAAGCTCGTGTTCTGTCATTGAACATATAGGTTATCGTCCAGTTTGTTTTGCTACTATGACCAATGCTACAGTGAACATCTTTGCAAATATAGCACTTCTTTGTGAAATTTCTTGAGAAGGGAAATTACAGAAACAAATGGAATAAGTATGTTTATAGCTATCTGTTTTATATTATCATACTCTTTTCCAAAATATTATACCATTTAAAATATCATCTAAAATATATCAGTATAACAATTACTCTACTCTCTCCCGGCATTCTCCCTAAATTTCATAAATGCAAAATTGCAAGTCCAAAATTTCTTTCATTTACATTTTTCTGTTAGAAAGTGCATCTCTAATGTGCTTGTTTACTGGCATTTTCTCTAGTGTAAATTTTCTGTTACCGGATCATTTCCATTTCCATAAAACATTTCCTGACAAAGTCAGATAAGCTTTTTCCTATTTAACAAACACTAACGTTTTTAAATCGTGCTCATGTACATAATTCACCCTTCCGTTGTCCTTCTATGTTTCGTTTTGTTTTGTTTCTGTTCACTGTGCAGAGATATATATGAATCAATAAGTCTTTATCCTTTGTGATTGCTTTATAAATGCAACCAAATCTGTGAACTATTCTATTGCTTACTGGTTTAATTTTTTTAAAAATTCTTCACTAATCAAATGTCTTTAAGAAAGTCTTTAAACAAATCTTCTCAACAGTGTTGTTTAATGAAGCATAAGGATCTATTTCAAGAAGAGTCAAAAATTGCAAACAATGTTGCCTGGTTTTGGAGTATTAAGGAGTCTTTCACTGTTCCTAAGAATAAAAATATAAAATTTGTAGGTGGGGACTTTAGCTCTCAAACAGAATTTTGTATCACTTCCTTGCTACTGAGATCTATTTGACAATCATTTTTGCTGTGCCTTTTCTCTTAATTTGTGGACTTCCTCCATTAAGCCAGGAGACACACTCCCTCCTATTCATTTGTTACACACAGCTCTGGCCTTCAAGTCCTGTTCATGCTCCCAGCTCTATTTTCCTACATTAGAAGGCCTAGCATTCCAGCCTTCTATTAATCATTGCCTTTCAAACCATATTCTTCAGCAGTAGTTCCCAATCCTGGCTGAAAACTCACATTGCCTGTGGAGCTTTTATTAACAACAGATTTACCAGACATACCCATGGGGATTCTGATTCAGGAAGTCAAGCACGGATCCAGAAATCCATTATTTTAAAATTCACCAGGTGATGCAGAAACAGTAGGATTTAGGAACTACTCAAGAGCCCTAGGCTTTGAGGGGCTGAAGCTCACGTGGTGGAGGAGTAAGGAGGAGTCCTGGTGGGTGTGTTCTTGGTCTGCTACTTCTGCTTAAATTCAAGCAGCCCTGCTTTTGTCTGTTTTATACAGCAGGGTCTGCATGAGATGTCATTTGAAGAGAAAGGTTGTGCTGCTTAAAGAAAAAATTTGAAAGTCACTGCTCTATTTGTTTAACGTTTTCAAATTTTAAGATTTTAAGATGTTCACATATTTTTTTCAATCAATGAATATGAAGAACAGTGAAAGCATTCTAAAATACTCACATAATACGTAAAGGTTAAAGTCTGTTAGACTCTTTAGAGTCCTTAGAATCCTTAGAATCTTTAGTATATAAGTTCAGTTAGTGCAGAGAATAAATCCTATTTTATTTCAATGTGGTTCCTATTCCTCAACACCATTATATCAATGCCACGATGTAGAGCGACATCCTCAAGATGAATCTATTGATAAAGACACCATCACCATGATCTATAAACAGTGTACAATCTGTCTACTTTCTGAACCCATTGTCTGCAACTCCTCCCCTCACAGACCTCACTCCAGCCACCCTGGCCTCCTTACTGTTTCTTGAGCAATCCAAGCGTGCCTCCACTCAGGGCCTTTGCAGTTAAAGTTCTCTCTGACTTACATATTCTTCCTACACGAGACTGTAGGGTCCGCCCCCCTTTGTTAGGTCTCTGTTTAAGTGTCTTTTCGGAGTGGATTTCACTGACCACCTTCCACCCCATCCAAAATAGCATCTTCCCCTGTAGTACTGTCCAATCCCCTGCCTGGTTTCCTGCTCTGTTGCTCTCATAGTACTTATTATCCCATGACCCGTGATGTGTTTCTAAATTTGCTAGTTGTCTCTATTCCTTGCACAACCAGGATATGATCTCCAAAAGGGCAGATTTTGTCTGCCTGCTTCACTCTGTGATCTCAAGGCCTTAGAACAGTGGCTGGCACACTGTCTTGGCTCAGACATTTTTAGATGAAAGAATACATGTCTCTTCAATAAATGAATTAATCCTCAAAAAGTCAAGATACATGAAGAGGGCACATTCTGCATGGAGCACTGGGTGTTATATGCAAACAATGAATCATGGAACACTACATC